TCCCTCCCTGCCCTTGTCCCAAGTCCCTCCCCAGCTTTCCTGGAGCCCCTTCAGGCACTGGAAGCTGCTCTCAGGTCTCCCTGGAGCCTTCTCTTCTCCAGGCTCAACACCCCAACTCTCCCAGCCTGGCTCCAGAGCAGAGCTGCTCCAGCCCTCCCAGCATCTCCGGGGCCTCCTCTCGACCTGCTGCAACAGCTCCAGTTCTTTCCTGTGCTGAGGGCTCCAGAGCTGGACACAGTTCTCCAGGTGGGATCTGTCCAGAGCAGAGCAGAGGGGGAGAATCCCCCTCCCTGGCCCTGCTGGCCATGCTTCTTTTGATGCAGCCCAGGACACAATTGCCCCTCTGGGCTCCAGCACACACTGGTGGCTCATGTTCAGCTTCTCATCTCCTCCTACTCCCAGATCCTTCTCCTCAGGGCTACTCTCTGCAGGGGGTTTGGATCTAGATCATCTTTAAGGTCCCTTCCAACTCAAACCATCCTGTGATTCTATGAATTATCTTTACTGTGAAGCTGTATTTGATTGTAAGGAGAAGAGAGATATTTGAGTAATGACGAAGAAACTATACTTCAGTATAGTTCCCTTCAGTCCAGTGCAGCCAGCAAAAGAGCTGGGAGGAGGAGGAAAAGGGGAAAAAAAACAACTCACAAACAACCCAAAGCATTTCTTAAGAAATTGCACAAAGTCAAAATGCAAGAATTGTGCAAGAACATGGAAGAGAGCCAGTGAAGTGACAAAGCACTTCTGGAATTAACTTGTTTCCAACATCCACGAACTAGTATACTCTGATGATGTTCCAGCTCCTCTTTGGTAAGATGAGCAGAATCAACAATGACATTCCTGCCAACCCCTGTTCCTTTGGAAGAAGTGCCACCTTCCTTTATCTCTGAAGGTGAGGAAGGCTTGTTTCTGCAGAGCCAGTGACACTGTCAATTGCTGGACACTTAAGCTCAGCCACCTCCACTCTTGGCATGACCTTTCTAGGACAGCAGCCAGTTCACAGAGATCAAGTGTCATTGCAGCAACCTGAATGCCCAGAGCCCTGCCTGTGAAATAAAGTTCAAGTGTCACCTGGTTTCTGTTCAAGGATTGGTGCAGTAGCCAGAGGAACCGTTTTCATATCAAAAGGTTTGTCTGAAGGCTCCAGTGTGTACTGGTGCAGGGCTTTCTCCATCCCAGGAACGGAGACTGTCAACCCTGCAAAGCAGAAGCACAGGCAGCAAAATGTAGTGTGGATAGCAGGGGCTGTCAGAGGTCTGCAGGCACTGCCAGACGAGCAGTGTGAAGTCTGGATTGCCCACTGAACCAAAAGCAGTGACATCCCAGAGGCTGAGAAACATCCTCTGTATCTCAAGTCACCTCCCTCTTGAGATCTACAATAGGAAGATTATTTAAAGAGCTCTTCTCTGCAGCCTGTCCATTGGTTCAGGCTGCATGGAAAAACTCTTTGTGAAGAATTTAGAGTTTACAGCTAGAAAGATAACAGTTTGGACTTTGGCTAATAAAAAAAAGAATGGTAAATAAAAGTGCTTTTATCAGGAAACAAACACAGAAGCCAAGTACTTCAAGATACTGCAGAGAATGAAAAACTGCTCTGACAATGACACAGGAAGCTGCCCTTCCAGAGGGTACTGCAATCTAAGCAGTTTCCTCAAGAAAAGTCCTCTTGCAACAGCCTCAAGTACATTCAGTGTGCTGCTGACAGGAACTTTCCACCACAGGCCATAAAACGTGCTCATAGCCAACCCAGGCAACAAGATGTATCATCCCCAGTTTGTAACGGAGAAGATGGAGCAAAGGTTAAAAAAAAACTGTCCCAAGTGAAGGAAGAGGCAGTGATGACTAAACCCAACCCACATTCCTGATCCT